GAGGACGAGAGCCTGAGCCCGCGGGAGGACCGCGCCATGGACGCCGACGACGCGGACGAGCAGGGCCGCAGGAAGGGCTCGGTCCCCCAGCGCAGGAGGACCAACAACCGCAACAACCGAGGCAAGAGCAACAAGGACAAGGGCAACAAGGGCAAGGGCAAGAAGAACAAGGACAACAAAAACAAGGGCAAGAAGAACAAGGACAAGAAGAACAAGGCGAAGGACGATAAGAAGAATAAGAGGAATAACAAGAATGGAAAGGACAACAAGAAGAATAACAAGAACAAGAACAAGAAGAAGAACCGTATGGGAAATCTGTCTGAGCAACGAGCCTTCTCAGGGTAAGTAAAAAAGGTCACACATATATATATATATATATATATATATATATATATATATATATATATATATATATACATATACACCATGCATCATAAAGTGTCTATGTAGTGAGTCTGTGAACCGGTTGGGTCTGTTCCCGGCCTTTAGCTTATCATGAACTATTTTGTATGTAACCATTATACAGTACATCTACTTTCTGTACTAAGTGGCGGAACAAATCTCTATCTAGGAACAGATATTGAAACCCTAACACCAAATCTGAAGTAGGCTAATCAGCAGCCCATTACTGTATACACTATAATCCTATCTAGTGAGAATAGGTGTGTACTAAGTCACCCCTTCTGCGCCAGGTCCGAGCAGGTCCTCCCTACTCAGGAGGAACGTCGGGCCAGCAACGCTCACCTCACCGGCATGGAGAATATTCAGCGCGATGGAGATGTTGTCCTCGATTCCTCCAGCAAGCATCTCAACGTGAGTAATTTTAGACAGTGCTTTGATGCCTTTCGTAAATGTATCCACGAGAGATCCGGATCTATGTATATATACGTATCAGCGAAACACGAATCAGGTGTCCTTTAATTAATTAGCAAGTGCTGGATCTCACGTAGCGAATGGCTTTGCGTTTCAGTTGGATGTGAAGTTCGCCATCGGGCCGGTGCAGGTGCAGCCCAAGGACAAGACGCGGCAACTCACCAAGGCCTCCGTCAGCACCTCTCTCGACGCCGAGGCTCGATTCAGGGTGAAGACGGTGAGTATATATGGTGTGAGACGAGAGAGGAGAGGGAGAGGAGAGGGAGAGAGAGAGAGGAGAGGGAGAGGGAGAGGGAGGGAGAGGGAGGGAGAAGGAGAGGGAGGGAGAGGAGAGGGAGAGGGAGAGGGAGAGAGAGGGGGAGTTTTCAAATTGCTATTTTTTTTACTATTCCTCCAGGTCCGCGGCCGTGAAAAAATGAAGTTGGTGAGCTTGACCGTCGACAGCCTGACCCCGGAAATGGTTCAGATAACCCGAAGTGATTTGGACATTGAAGAAACTCTCCTTTCGACCGCTCGCGAGACGGTGAGTTCCAAAACCTCCGAGTTTCGCTTCGTCACAACTGCTCTGGTGCTACTTCGCTTGCACACATAGCTTCCGTTTATCAAACACGTATTAAAGATGCCTTTTTTTCTTCCTTCTGCAGGTGGTGAATGCCATCGACACGGCTCGCATCGCAAACATCCTCTCTGCGGAGCTGGAGAACATCTTCCAGGAGGAGGACATTGTCCAGAACTTCGACAGCCACCCGGCCCTCAAGTTCCAGTAGGAGCGCGCCAGGTCGGGAGAGTGAGAGACGCTGGAATCAAGGTTTTCGTCTTGCCATAGCGCTGCTGCACCTCAGTTGCCTAAAAAAATGTCGGTGCTATGGCATTCAGAATGAAATTCACCGACGGAAACGGAAAGCCAGCTGTCTCTCCGCAACAGCCTCGTTCCCGCTGGCCATGACACGACTCGCGTCCCCCCCCCCCCCCTCAACGCGCGAGGTCGAGTCGCTTCGCTGTCCGTTCGCGGAGAGCGGCGGGCGGGAGGCACGTCCGTCACTCACCTCGCCTCTCGCCCCGAAAAGATGGTCATCATCATATGAGAACAGTTCACATCTCGCCATTTTTCTCTCAGGATCTGCCTCCTTCCGCGCCTTTCCCTCGCCGCCTGCTGGAGCCTCCGGCGCCCTTTCGCTTAGCAAGAACTCGTGTCTTCTGATCCTTCTGCCTTTTCCCATTACTTGCCACACCCTGCATCCTCGCCCCATATTTTGTATATATAATTTGTTTGTGTCTATGGAGTTGTTTTTATTTATTGATATTTATTCAAAATCAAACGAGAGGCTTTTCAGTAAAGTCTTAGATTTATAAAATAAATCTACAAAACAGTTTGAGGAAAATCTTTCCCGAAGTTTATCCCTTCGCAGAGAACCCCTGCTTGCCTGCCTGTGGAGTATGAACACATCCGTTCGAAAACTGCATATCACTTGCGTTTCCGGAATGGAATCAGAACATTCAGAAGATAGAGAATAACAAAAAAACAAACAAAACAAAGTAAATCCCAAGAAATAAACAAAAAACAAACATCCCCAAAACAAAACATCCCCCAAAACAAATCCCAAAACCAGACAATAAAGCGATGAAG